CATATTGCTTGTACATGGAAAAATGTAAGTAGAGAACAATTAGCATAACAACTTATTTTTAGCAAAAATGATGTTCTTTATAACAAATGCTCCACATGTTGGTTGTCATTTACCAACAATACCTGTTGTCGAGGGACAATGTTGTGAAAAGCACTGCACAGCATATCTGTGGATATGGTGAGAAATTGCTGTTGGATGTTGTCTCTTAGCATTCCTAATGAGCTCAGATGATCATAGTACACTTGTGACTTCAGGTAATCCCAAAACCAGTAATCACATGGACTGCAATCTGAGGACCTTAGAGGCCAAGCAATATGGAAGTGGCAGCTCAGCACACTATCCTCACCAAACAATGTGTGCAAGAGGTCTTTCACGTGTGTAGCGATATGAGATGGAACACCATCATACATAAAAGGCTTACCTTCCAGTAGGTGCTTATCAGCCATGCTAGAGATGATGTGACCCCTTTAACATATCAGTATACCTCACACCCATCACGCTGACAGTTTGGAAAGCAAATCTATGCCTTTTTCTCAAAGAAAAATAGTCTGATTATGAATGATGTGGTAAATCCACATCACACCATGACTCTCTTGTCATGTAATGGGGTTGCACAACAGTTCCAGGATTTTTGGTAGCCCAGATTCTGTAGTTGTGGGAATTGAGAGACCCTCGGAGTATTTTACCAAACAGTGGCTTCGAACTTCATATTTATTTTCTTCACAGTTACACTTGTCATCATGGTACCTTACTCATTTGAATACCCTTCTTGTGGTGAGAGAATCATATATCACATGGACATTGTGATTTATACATTAATAGTATTTTTAGCTGCAGTAGCACATTCTCCAATCTGAGAGTAGAGCTTTACTAGCACCTTTCCTGACAAAGTCAAAACGTGCTGCAAACGCTGGTGAATCTGATTTTCTTCCACCCTACAGCTCATTTTATACATGATTCTCATGCATCATCACCATTGTTTTGCTGCCCAGCACCATCTGTTGCCTTTTTTTTAATAAAATTCAATGTCATTTGAAGCATGCACATCAATTTTTACCTGCCTACCAACATTATTCCGTGAATTATTGAATTTTCAAATGTTAATGGACTTATGGGTCACCTGGTATATATAGCTACCAGCAGTGATGTCTTTGAATATGATATGATAAATGAAATATTGTGTGTGTATGGGTTCGTTACGAAATAAATGCACAAGACAGATGAAAAATCAACAAAATTTATTATTATCACAAAAAAATGTTTAAATCTCCTCAGATATTCGTGCAGTATTATAATATCTCACAGTAGTTATCTTTTGACTACTCAAACGTTCAAGAGAACTTAATTCAAAACAGCTAAAGAAAGCTAATCCGTGAATTCGCTACAGTCAATAAGAGCAGTTTTCTAAACAAACTCTTAAAACAATAACAAACTAAGTAACTACAATGAACTGAGAGATTTTCCTCCTTTTATGATTTTCCTCCTTTTATAAGATTTTAAAATCGCGCGCGAGAATTTTCTAGTACTTTCTCGAAATCAAAAAGAGATATTTATTAAACCACATAAACCATGTGATAGTAAGCGGCACTTGCAAACGTGATGCTCACGTTTAACTTCCCAGCTATGTTGATCTTGTCACCAGACGCAGTCTGAAGGGTAACACAGGATGGCGTCCAAATGAGTTTATCTTTGAACTGTTGAGCTAAATCTTTCCAGATGATGGTAACATTAGCTCCAGTGTCAATGATCATATTGCAAGGAACTCCATCAATATGCCCATTGATGAATAGTCCGTTATTGTTGCCACTCACTGTAGAAATCTTAAGCGCTTTAAAATGGGTTTTTCATTATCGGGCAACCTCCGTTCCTCGATATGGTTATTAATTTGTTTCCTGCGTCATTGCTGGGAAATGATCTTAGTTTCCGTACCCTGGAGTGTTCTGCAATTCCTTCGGACATGGCCTTCAGCTCCACAGTTCCAGCACTTTGGTTTCTTGTCATTCCTTTTCCATCTCCTGGTATTTAATTGCCTGTTCAACTCATCTGCTCTGGGATATTCTGCAGTTTCTTCGGATGTGGCCTTCAACACCGCAGTTCCAGCACTTCATCTGTTTCTTCTCACCAATATTCCATGTCAAAGCATTCAGTGGTCTTGTCAAATCATCTGTTTTATTATCCGTGCCCTGGGGTGTTCTGCAATGACGTCGTATGTGCCCTTCAATGCCACATTTCCAACACCTTAGAGCCACTTTGTTCTCACTCTTACTCTGTATCAAAGCATTGACTTTTCTGGCTAAATCATCTAAACGAGCCATCAGTTGATCCACTGGCTCGTGGACTCGCACAGCTCTGACTGGGTAACAATCTCTACGAGTTGCTTGCTGGGCTGCCTCGAACTTCATGGCGTACAACATAGCGCTTTTTATGTCCTTCGCATCCGCCATTCGCAGAGCTTTCTGTATTTCGGGGTCCCGGATGCCATCGATGAAGTATTGCAGGGACAGGATTTCCCTTGTTTCTGTAGGGCATTCCAAAAAGGCGAGATGGGACAGCCTTTTAACGAGCTCCTGAAGTGTTTAGGTGGGCTTCTGCTGACAGAATTTTAGTTGAAGCCTGCTGTAGTCTTTTAAACACTTTTCTCCGAAGTGCAGCTCTATTGTGCCAGATAGAGCTTCAAAGTCTAATCTCTGGTTTTCAGGAAGAGTCTGCAGGATATCCGTTGTGTCTGCTCTCAGGGAAGCGGCAAGATGACAGGCCTTAGCTTGGGAATCCCATCCAGCATCCGCCACTATAGAAACTGTGTTTTATACACTTGCCAAGAGGTCTTCCCATCATATGTAGATAACTTCAGAGAGGGACGAGCAGGCATGGGTAAAAATTTAAAACCATCACTATTCTTCCCTTCCGTCACTATGAATTTCTTTAAAATATCCACTTCTTTGGCTACTGCAGAAACCCTATCATCAATTTGTAGTTCAATTTGGTGTTGGACAGCACAAACTCTTCCTTCAATTCATTCCTCCACAGCAGAAACTCTCCCTTCTATTTGTGCTTTGACGGAGGAGACTCTTTCTTCAGTTTCTGCAACCTTACTTGCAACCGAGTCTATTCTACCTTCTATAGCCTCGAATTTGTTTTCTATTACACAGGTAATTTTTCTTTTCATTTCCTCTTGACCTGCTTTCATCTCATCTTTAACAGATTTCATCTCCTCTTTAACGGATTTCATCATCTCAAAGACGGATTTCATCATCTCAAAGACGAGATGATCTCATCTTTAACAGATTTCATCTCGTCTTTAACAGATTTAATGAAAGCGGGACAGGAATTCGTTCTGCTTTCATTTCTTCCTGTCCTGCTTCAATCTTTTCCTGATTAGATTCCATCTCTTCTTTCAATTCTTCTTTAAACAAGGCAAAGGCTGATATCAACTGCCTTAATTGCTCTTCCATCGCTCTTGTTATTGGCATTCAAATCCCACTTCTGACACCAAAAATTGTTGCGTGCGTACGGGTTCGTTACGAAATGAATGCACAAGACATGAAAAATCAACAAAATTTATTATTATCACAACAAAAAATGCTTAAATCTCCTCAGATATTCGTGCAGTATTGTAATATCTCACAGTAGTTATCTTTTGTTTACTCAAACGTTCAAGAGAACTTAATTCAAAACAGCTAAAGAAAGCTAATCCGTTAATTCGCTACAGTCAACAAGAGCAGTTTTCTAAACAAACTCTTAAAACAACAACAAACTAAGGAACTACAACAAACTGAGAGGTTTTCCTCCTTTTATAAGATTTTTAAATTGTGCACGAGAATTTTCTAGTACTTTCTCGAAATCAAAAAGAGATATTTATTAAATGTTACATGCACATGCTCTTGTATTTTCAATTTTCCGGCTTAACTTTCTTTTAATATTTGTCACGCGCTGCACTGTGCAGGAAATAAAACCATTTAATTTACAATTCAACTAACATAAGATATTTAAATACCAAATCCATAACAATATGATAAAAGTAAAGGGCAGTTAGTTAATTCATTTGACACACATTTGTTCACATCTACTACATAGATTTTAAGATGAAAATAAGACAAATATGAATGATAATATTTAATACTGATTAGCAATTTAACAAGATAATTTGAAATATCCCTAAAATATGTTATAGCGTGTGGAATAGCAATAGCATCAATGTTTCAGAAAGAGAATTTTCATTGTTGAAGGAAAATACTTCCACCCCACAGAGTATTATTAAAAAAAAGTATTATTACCTTACAGAGTATTATTAGAAAGAGTAGGTTATATTTAGTTGCATCAAAAAGCACCACAGACTTTTTAAAGTTATCTTATTGTTTTCCATTATAAGAAATTTAACAGTTTAAAAACATGCCATCTTTAACATCCTACTTGAAATATTCAAAATAACTATTATTCACATAAATTAATGCTCCTAAAAAATTTAAACATATATATTTCTAAAAATTTTTCAAACATACACCATCAAAAGGGAAACAGTAATTAAAACCAGATTTTAATAAAAAAAAACTAAAATTATTCTAAATTATTCAGAAAGATCTCATCAAAAAGGAGTGCATAGCAAAGTTAAAAATCTATGATAAAAAAAGTAGATAAATTTCTAAACTAATTGTAAAATAGAGATAAAATAACTCATTTCAAGAATTATGCTATTTTGTGAAAATTTCTAAAATTAAAAACTATAAATATTTTTTAAATCATAAAGTTTTTAAGCAAAAAATCTTTAAAATAATTCATAGATAAAATAACTAATTTTAAGCACTACAAAGGAAAATTTTATTCAATGGCAATAATATATTACAATAAATTAATAAATATATTTTTAAGTAATAATTAATATTTTAACTGTAAAGATAACAATGATTTCAGATAGTCACCTTACCATTTCATTAAATAAGCTCAAAAATAAATATTACTATACCCTGGTACAATTTCTTTAATTAAATATAACTTTTACTCACCCTGTATTATTCAAATCTACGCACGAAAAAATCCCAGATATACAGGAATTGGAAATTTCATGATCATCTCTTGATCCATCATTATACATAGATTTTGAAGAATTTGATTTCAATACTGGAGATTCACAGCTTTCAGGTTCTCCATGTTGGAAAAGACCTTGCAAAAATTCATCAAAACTAATCTGACCATCTTGATCACAATCCAACTTTTCAAACAATTGAGCAACAACCTAAAATGGATTTTAAAATAATCTAATGCCTTTATTTTATTATAATTTGCATAAAACATTCTTTTTCATAATGCAAGAACTAAAGAGTTTTTCATAATGCAAGAACTAAAGAGTTTAATTTTTGCTTTAATCTTGCAATAAATATCAAATAATTAGCATACCAAAACTAAGCTTTAAATCTAGGATCATCCATACTTCTGTACATTTATTAAAGGAAAAACTTGAAAAATACATTTCTCTCTTAAAATCATGATACACAAATTATCTAGTATTGTGAAAGAAAACATACTTATAACATAGCCACTAAAAACCTGTAACTGATTTCAGAACATAAAAATTACACAATCTAAAATACTGGCTTCATGCTATTTTAAATCAACTAAGAAAAAGGAAAAGGGGTAAGTAATTTCATTTCAATCAACATACGATGTTATAGAAACAATAAATAATAATATACATCCAAACTGTATGCTTCATGAGAAAAGTTGAAATTTTGATTCTTCTATATTTTTACAGTTTCCATTTTCTAAATAATGCTAAGATTATTAATAAATTGGTAACGCATACCATAATCAAATGGCTGGTAGTCCTCACCAGAATCATTTATAGTTTGGCTGTGATAACAGCTGTGAATAAACTATGTGTCATTATATTTTCTTTTTTCATATAAATGTTAATAATTCAGGTGTTCATGTGTACATTCAAGGTCATTAATAATTCTCTCATCATAAGATTTTCTTCCACAATATCGAACATCTGGAAAGTTACACTGAGAAACTGCTGAATTCTCATTTAAATTCCAAATAAGGAGGCAACCATAGTTATGGCAAAAATCTCTCACCCTGTACAAGAGGAATCAATGAGTTATTCAAATTGCTGGTAAGAATATAAAACAGACAAACTGGAAAAAGCAAATGAGAGTTATTCTACAAATAACCATAAATGTCATTTTTTATCCAACAACAGGTATTCATACACAAAGTGTTGAAAGTTTGCGGTGCTCCACTAAGCAGCAGAATAAAAATATGAGCCACATATTGCCATCATCATAATTCTTACCTTGCAGAGTTCATAGGGATGAGAAAATGCTTCTGATGCCATATTAGAAGCAATCGTCGAAACATGGCAGCCACAAAAGTGTATGTGAGAAATAAATGATAATCCTGATGCCAACTTAATGGGAGGCCATAATAATAATAAGGAAGTACAAATATTTTTAAATATGCATTTTTTACATGCATGATATACATTTTCGGGCATAATCTGCAAACATTCCTTTTTCTTAATCTGTCACACAATTAGCTATTTTAAAAAGTATAACAGTTATACTTTTCTCTGTTTAATCTCAGTTTTAGGAAGCAGAAAGCATTTAGCCACTACTTTCATTCCTTCATTTAAACTCTATTCATAATTCTACAAATCAATCAGTATCTCAGACTATTCAATTATTTGCAACTGTAACATAAAATGGTGACAATCTGTAGTGTTGTATGTTTTACTTCATATGAGTCCCTGAGTTTCTCCCTGAGTATTTCTATTTTATAATTAGTGAAAATTCAAATAACGGCTAAGCACTGCAATGAAGTTTTAAAGAAATCTTGTCATTTTTGATTGAACAATCAACTTTATTTGTCAAACTTACAGACTAACTGAAAAACATTTTAAACATGTGCAATTTCAGGCATGGATATTTTATGCATGAGGTTTTTTACATTTCTTACTGGTATAATGTTGGGTGTGCAGCAATGCAAATGCGTTACAGTCTTAAATTCCTTCCCTCATGAGGAAATTCGAAGAAAAGTTTTTCTTTCAATTTGATGGAATTTTCACAAAACATTTTCAGTTTAAATACATTATTTATTTATTTACAAGAGAAAGATGTTCAAGCATATCTGTAACAAATACAATTAGATACCTGACCAAATGAGCACAAGTGCTTTCAAAGAAGCATTTTAAATAAACATATAAAATGTAATATTCTGATATTAGAAAAATTTAAACAATGAAGTTTTAAACTTCCTAGGATAAATATTTTTAGTTGTGTGATGTCTGGATACAATAACGTAAACTGTCAACACTTTGATGGTGCTTCCCCTTTCTATGCGCAACTTCACTGTTAAAAGGTGTAATCAAAGCCCATCATAATCTAGAATTAGTCTCGGTGTTTTTATCCAACCATATTAAAGGATTATGATCAGTCTGAATGATGAACTTATGACATCCATTTAGATAGAATTTTAAGTTTTGTACTGCAAAGACAATGGCAATACACTCCCTTTCAATTGTAATGCACTTCTGTTCAGTAGGTGAAAACATTTTGCTAAGAAATATTATTGTATGTTCTTTGCCTTTAGCATTTATCTGTGATAATACAACACTAGTGCCAATATTCAAAGTGTCACATTGAACAATAAATGGCTGAGAAAAGTTTGGACTGTATAAAACTGGATTTTGTGTTAACCATGTCTTGACTTCATCAAAAGCATTCTGGCAGTCCTCAGTCCAATTTATGGTTGATTTGCAACATTTTCCTTTTAGCAAATCTGTCAGTGGTGGAGAAATCACAGGAAATTCCAAAATATACCTTCGAGAATATCCCGCAAGCCTTAAAAACAACCGGAGCTGTGTTTTCATGGTAAGTTTTAGGGAAGTCTTTTATGGCTTGGAATTTTACTTCTGCTGGTCTTCTTTGACCTTGCCCTACTACATGACCTAGATATTTGATGGTCGTATATGCAGTTTACGCTGCATATATGACCATCAAATCATATGCAGTTTAGCAATTTTCACCTTCTTCAAAATAATTTCAAGGTGCTTCAAATGTTCTTCCCAGGTTTGCGAGAATACTGCAACATCATCAATATAGGGTACAGCAAATTCTTCACAATTTCTTAATAATCCTGCCATCAAATGGCTAAAATCATATGGTGCATTTTTTAGCTCAAATCGTAACCTTAAGGATTTAAATGATTAACTTGTCACAAAAGCAGCATAACGCTGGGCTCTTTTAGTTAGTAGGATCTGCCAGTAGCCTCGAGTAAGATCTAGAAAAGCTATATACCTGGCAGATGACACTTTTTCTACTAAATGTTCAATGCATTTGGCAAGGGAAAATATTGTGTCCTAGTTGCCTTGTTCAAGCGACGGTAATCAATGCATGATCTTGTCTCTTTTCCAGGAACTTCAACCAGTATGAGTGGAGAAGTAAAACCCGATCCACCTCATTCTATTGAAGTTTTATCATCTTTCCCACTTCAGTTTTTAAAATCTCATTTTGTTTAGCACATATCTTATAAGACATAGCGGTTTATCTACTTCAAGTTCTATATCATTTTCAGTAAGGTCAATACATCCTGGTTCATTAGAGATAATACAGGAATACTTGTATATCAACTATTTTAAATCTTTCTATTGGTCTTCACATAAGAGCGAGTTCAACTAGATACCTTGCAAAATTCAGACACATCAGAATCTGAGCTATAATTTAAACTCAGTATTTCATCTTCATAGTTGTTTATCCTGTCCTCTAAACATAGCAAGTTTATAATTTCTGCTGAAATATTTCTTCTGAAAATATGATTTTAGCATATTAATGTGGTACACCTGAGTTTTATTTTTCTCGGAAAACTCGATGACATAATTTGCCTCTAATAATTGTTGAACTATTTGTCCAGGACCTACCCACTTAACTGACAGTGTCTTTGGCTTGGAAAGAGCCACAACTAGAACTAAGTTTCCTTCTTGAAATTTACATTCTATGGCTTTGTGATCATACCAGAGTTTTTGCCATTCTTTGGGTTCTTTCATATGCTGGACAATGAGTTCTTGACATCTCCTCATTTGATTCATTAGTTCAAAAATATAGTCCACTGCAGTATTTTCTTCATCTTCTTTACCAGATAATTTTTCATACAATAGCATAAATGGAGTTCGTAAATTTCTGCCATGAACTTATTCTGCTGGCGAGTAACCTGTGCTGTTCTGAATAGTGGTTCAAACAGCAAATAATGCCTGAGGTAAGACTTTATCCCAGTTCGGACCAGATTCTAGACACAGGACTAGAAGAGTTCTTTTTAAAGTTCTATGCATCCTCTCTACAGAATTGCTTTGTGGATTGTAAACACAACTCCATACAACTTTAATTCCGAATTTTTCTAGGAAATCTGACATCAGCGCACTCATAAAAGATGTGGTTTGGTCCGTCTGCACCTCTTTTGGAAACACCATTCAACTAAAAATTTGAAGGAAAATATCAACAATTGTGATTGAACAAAGATTTGTGACAGGAACTGCATCCGGATATTTTGAGGGCATGCAGATTGCAGTTATAAGATACTTATTTTCTGAAGGTGTCACGGACAAGGGCCCACAAGCATCAACATTTATTTTTTAAAATATTTCTGTGATAACAAGGACAATTTTCATTGCTTTCTTTTTCACTTGCGGCTTTCCAATTCTGTGACATTTGTCACAAGTTTTAACAAAATTCTCAACATCTTTGTAACAATTTGGCTAATAAAAAATTTCTAAATAATGTATCTTTGATCTTTGTTGCACCAAGATGGGCTGCTGTTTCTTCATGACAAATAGTTATCAACTGTTTCTGATATTTCTCAGGAACAACAATCAGTAGCTTTTGTGTTTGATCACAATCTTCTTTTTTGAAAAAGAGCATTTGTCTTTTCAACATATACCTGGTACATTAAGAAAATTTTATTTTAGCCTCTTCATAAAGTGGCTTCAATTCAATGCTCTCCTTCTGTTCTTGTATAAATATTTCTGAAGAGGCCTTTATCAGATCTAGTTCAGAACGTTCATATTTCACAGGAGGCAAACTTTCACTTTCAGTCAGTGTGTCTTTGTTGTTAAGTTCAATTTCAGAATTTAACTCATCTGTTCAGACCAGATTTTCCATTTCTTTTAGATGTCGCTGAGCACGAGTTTGTACAGGGTTTATCATATGAATTTGAACTTCATCTCGTTTTGCTTCTTCAAATAATCAGCGATTTTGTTACCTAGAACCAGAGTCGCCAACCGGTGGTCCGTGAAACATTTTTGATGGTCCAGAAAAAATAGAACATAATTTATGCATTTTTAGGGACATTTTTCACTCATTAATAATTTTCTTTAATTTTTTATAAATTTTCAGATTCAAATAAAATAGATAATAGATGCATAATGAATGAGGAAAAGCAAGCGAATATTTTGCATTTCTTTAGTGAAACTAAAAATAGAATAACTAATGAAAATAGTATTACTTCATTTAACACAGAGGTGATCAATGAATCAAAGCATCCACATTCCTCATCACAGTCAGACAGCATTAGAAAGAACGTTTAAACTGGAGGGGCAAAGAAAAACCCAAAATAACAAGAAAATATGATTCAGACTAATTCTGCTATGAAACCTTCAAAACTCGAAAGACACTTGAAATCAAAACATGCAGATTTAGCTAAGAAACTACTTGAATATTTTCAAAAAATGTGTGAAAATATGCAAAAATAAGTAGGTACCTTAAAAATGTGGTTGTTTAAGATAAGTCTCTATCAAAGGCTTTCCATCTGATAGCACTTCAAATGCATAAAAGCAAAAAGCCATATACGATCGGAGAAGAATTATTCAAGCCTTGCGTATTGCAAGCCTGTGAAGAGGTTTCGGGGAAAAAAGCTGTACAGAAACTGAAAGTAATATATCTGCTAACACTGTTAAAGCCCAAAATTGAAGAAATGACTAAACATGACTGGACATCTCTCAGGAGTTGCTGCAAAGATGAAAAATGTTAAGTCACCCAGACTTTCTGTCTACACACTGCATTACACATAGTGAGCATCTTGTGCTGAAATAAAATATCCCCTGAAGTACACCAAGTATTACCAGGTGTTATTAATATCACAAATGAAATTCGACACAAAGTGCTTTATTCTCGATTAATTGAAATACTTTGTGAAGAAATGGGTTCCCTGTATACTCACGTTCTTCACACTGAGCTGAAATTGCTTTCAAGTGGCAAAATACTGACATGACTGTTCATCTTCTGTGAAGAAATCAAATTATTTTTCAGCAACAAAATAATCCAGAATTTCACAAGCTTTTGTCCAATGATTTGAGTGGGTAGCCAAGCTTGCATACCTGGCAGATAGTTTTCATCTGTTAACTGAACTAAACATATGAAAGGAGTACTTATGCATGTGTTTACAGTACGAATAAAATAAATGCTTTTAAAAAAATATCACTGAGGCAAACGCTGTAAGAAGAAAATCTACAAATGCTTATAAATTTTAGTAAAAATATGGAACGATCTCAACCAGCAAGTGGTATCCATTATTCAACAGCACTTCTAGTCACTGACAGAATGTTTTGGCTTTTATTATCTAAAGCTGGAAGATCCTAGGCATGGTAATATGTGGATAATAGAGACTTAATGAATCCCTTAAGACTGCAGGCTAAGCTTGAATATGACCAAGATCACATTCAAGCTTTATTTCAGCCAAAGGTAAGCATACTGGATGTTCTTTCAGAGGTGTTCATATCCACATGGTTTCACCCCTATATATGGAAGGCTGTACATACTTTTAGCAAATTAAATCTAAAGTTGCACCAGTATCTCTAAATATGGACATTTTATAGCCATTTACTTTACCTAGGTTGGTGTACGGAGCCATAATAACCTTAAAACTAATTTTGGAAAATTCATCTGAGTAAATTTGCCACTCTAATAAAAGAGCTCAAATTTTAAAAGAACATCCTAATCAGGTTAGATATTTTGACGTTTTCATCCAAAAACTTAAACTTAGAATATCAGTCTATCAATTGAATTCAATAATAAGATGAAACATTTTCAAACAAAATGGCACAGTATTCATAAAAACTTATACTCACACATACTGTATTTCTTTTGTTTTTAAATAAACACTGGTTTCACCATTTGATCTCAGTGACTACCACCAGATATTTATTCTTTTATTCGTCTGTAATGAAGCTTTAAAGAAATCTTGCCATTTTTGATCAAACAACCAACTTTATTGGTCAAACTTACAGAATAACTTAAAAACATTTTAAGCATGTGCATTTTCAGGCACGGCTACTTTGCGCGTGAGGTTTCTTTACATTTCTTACTGGTATTATGTTGGGTGCGCAGCAATGCAAATACGTTACAGCATAACAGACAGTATTTGAACTAAAGATGAAATTAAATTTCCTTAGACATCTCTCAGAAGAAGAAAGCAATGATAGGGAAAATGAAGGTAACTACTTAATTAATGTAATTAAAACCTAAATGCCCAAAATGTGGAACTCAATAATCACAGTGGTGCCTCTAAAGCAATTTTAATATTTAACTTGATTATAATATCTACTTAGATTTATAAAAAATTATAAATATATAAAAACAAAAAATACAGCTTCAGGGATAACCAGTATTTTTAAGACTATAATTAAATAATAGCACTAAATGCAAGACCTTAATTAAATAATGGCAATCCCATTCTCTAAAATGACCATCTCCACAGAAAACCAAAACTGTCTGGAGCTATGCATCTTAGGAAGATTTCCCCATATCATTAATTCACTTTTTATAGCATGAAATAAAAGGTGATGTTTATGCCGTGAGAGCTGTGCAAGTGTTGGCAATCAGCAATTCTGGAATATTCACTAGAACATTACTTGTTCCCTGTTCAGTCAATCTTACTGTTTTCTGATATTGGTATAGTATGATTTACTCTTAGCTTACTAGAGCTATATTCATACTCATCAGGTTAAATATTTTGACACTTTCACTTTTGTCTTTGACTCCTGTCCAAGCTTTCTTATCTTATCTAATCACTATATCTTACCTCGTTCATTTGCGCTTTTGCAACTGAGGATGATGGTTCGGTAAAACTATCAAAACTAGTCTGTAAAAATTTGAAAATATAATGCTGATTTTTGTTGTTTGACTTCTAAATTAATACTTATTCGACATGTTATTGTATCTTAATTATATTCATACTTCTTTGAGTAACTGATATCTATAGAGTTATCCTTGTCTAAAAGGTTTACTAGTGACCAAATGGTTAAGACTACTGAATACTGGTAATTTGACCTGGCTTGGGTTCAAATGCAGAGGAATACACTGACTCCATAGTTGGTTTTTGTGGTTTTTCCCATGTGTAAGATGAATACAATCCAGTTTCCCTCTGAAAGTCCTCCACAAAGACATCTCTGCTCTAAGAAGATAACCCATGTGGCTTTACAATACTTAAATAATCTAATCTACCCTATCCTTGCTTAAAATGGCTATGGAGTACACTGCTTTAAAATATGAAGATTTTTTAACATGTACATATTTTAATTGGAAATAAAATATTTTTGTAGTTATATGCAGAATTAAGATTTTAAATCCTAACTGGTATATTTTGCAATAAGAGATGATGATGCGATAAGAAAATGAACAAATTTTGAACCTGGACCCAAACAAACAGCAAATACCTCACCCAATAATCGATAATTAAAAATGATGAAGTTTAATTACTTACTTCTTCAGTCATATCCATTCCAATATGTTCACATACAAGAGCTAACTCCTCAACATTCAGATATCCATTTTTACCTATACCCAGTTTTTTCCATGTTTCTTGCAAGTACTGAACAGGATTACTTTCAAATGAATGGTTGAGATCTACTTCTGAATCAGACGTGTGCTGAGATGAACTACCATCATCTTGGTTACAAGATTTTGGCTCATTTGTCATTCGTCCAGATTTCATGGGTGGCTGCTGCACATTACTTGGACTCATTGGTCTTTTTCCAGGAACATTTTCATTCTAAAAAATAATACAAAATTCACATATTTTAATTAATTCTAGAAAGATGAATAATTAATAATACTACCATAAAACAAAATTTCCAATGCACAGAATATAGGGAGTTTGAAATAAATTTGATTATATGAGATAAACACTGATGTCAATGAATTAACAACTGAAAATGAAGTTTTTCCACTGCTGTTAATAGATCATGCTACTAATTAGCTATTTTACAGTGTTATAAGTTAAAATGCATACAGATTACATCACCTCACTGAATATAGCAAAAGGAAATTCTGCGCAGTCTAAACATCTAAGTGCAATAAAAGCCTTTAGAATGATGAAACAAGTATATGGAGAAAGATGCTCATGCATTGCATGCATTTTCAATTGCATAAACCTTTCTGATGTTGATAAGAATTGTTAGATGATGACTGGCATCCTGCTGCATGAACTAATGCATGCAGACCAGATATACAGTATGATTCAAAAATATCTGGCAAAAATATAAAGGCAGGCAGAGGTGATTGAAATAAACAGACTTTTTAATAGGATGTGTATGTGGAAATGGCACACTTAGAAAGTACACAGCATTCATCAGTAGTAGATAAAAATCATTCTGCTAGCATAAATTGTCATTCTTAGCATGATTTTAAGCAATATTAATCACTATATGAAACAACATGTAATTTGTCTATGTGGCTGTGACTAAAACAATGTAGCTACACAGAACAATTTTTAAGTACCGTATATACCCGCGTATAAGTCGAGATATTTTGGACAAAAAAAAGACTTCAAAGTGGGGGTCGACTTATACGCGGGGCCATAAAAAATTAAAAGAATCAGAAGTTCAAAAATTTCTTTATATAATGCAGTTGTTTTCTTCCTGCACTCAAATTGGACGACTTATCGAATAAGTCACTTACTTGAAGTAATTAAATTATGTGACGAACTAATCACAGAGTTTCATACTTTAACTAGAGTAAGTTTCGATTAAACCAAAGAATTTTTGGCCCCTGAACAATAAAAAGCCCGATATTGCATTAATTGCTCAGTGGGTTAAAGATGCTTGGAACGAAATACCCTCTGAAATGATTATAAAATCATTTAAAAAATGTTGTATTAGCAACGTACTAGATGGCACAGAAGATGATGCTGTTTTTGAAAGTGAAAATGATGACGAAGGATCTGGTAGTGATTGTAACAATACAGAGTTCGAGACTGAAAATATGTATGATGACGAGCCAATGACGACAGAAGAGTTCTATGAAATGTTTGGCGAATCTGACCATGAATCGGACGTTGAAGGATTTTGATTTTGTTTATTTACCAAGGTATTTTTTTATCGTATATTTACTTTTTTTTTCTCAGATGATTTTGAATAAATGTAGTACTTAAAAAAATTTTTTTTTCTAAGTTTCTTGATCAATTTCGGAAGTGGGGGTCGACTTATACGCGGGTTTCTTATTTTCTACGAATTTTTTATGTCGAAGTGGGGGGGTCGACTTATACGCAGATATATACGGTATCTTCTTTGAGCAGCTGCTCTATTTTCATCTACAGGTTCAGATGGTCACTATGTGAAGTGGTCGATCAGAAAGAGTACCTGGTTTGAAAAAAGTCATTTGAGTACAATTGATATTTTGATTTTGCGTGGCTCTGGGTGTACGAAGCGAACTCGAAAATCATGGTAAGTGAATATTTGCTTTTTGTAGTGCTTAAATGTATAACATGTTTTTCCTTTTTTATGTTATTGTTTGGTTTAAAATGTATTTTATTGAGATTATGTATTTTTTGTTTGCCATACTGTAGACTTTGGTGCTTCTTTGACTTTTTAAGTGAAAATATATTGATGTGTACATAGAAAAAGTAAAGGGAGTGCGCAATGCAAGTTTGTGCAATTCTGGGATTTTTTTTTAAGTGAAAATAGGTCAAAGTGTACCTGGATAAAGTTAAAAGAGTGCGCAATGCCATTTTTGTGCAATTCGAGGATTTTTTTTAGGTGAAAATAGGTCGATGTGTACATGGATAAAGTCAAAGGAGTGCGCAATGCCATTTTTGTGCAATTCGTGTGGTTTTTTCTTTAAGTGAAAATAAGTCAATGTGTACATGGATACCGAGTTTGTGCAATTGTTTGTCTTGTTATTTTGGATTTGTGTTTTTGAGCCAAAAATCGCTGCTTCGCAAGCCAAAATAACGAGTCAAAGAATTGCACAAAATCGGTATCTATGTACCACCAAAAATCGCCAAGTTTCGCCAAGGGGTGCCCTAAACTACACTTTTACCGGCAAAACATACAAGCATGATTTATTTCATATTCTTAAACACCAACAATAATGTACATGAACTGAACAAAACACAAATTTACTCAAAAAATTTAATTTTTTTTCTGAAAAATGCTTGAATTTCCTAAATAATACTGAAACAGGCAATAAAATTCGTTTCAATATTCCATGAAGTAAAATAGCAAAGTGCCTTATTTTACTCGGTAAAATAATCAAAAATCAAGCAATCTCTGTCCCATACTAGCACAATGGAATTCCACAGAGAGAACTCAAGCATAATGGACTCTATGGAATTTACCTATCATTTACCTATCATTTACCTATCACTTATAAAAATCCCTATCTTCTGGAGGATTTTAATACTAGCCCCACAAAAAAACAGGCCACCAATTAGATTTGGTGAAGACAGGTGTATTATATATGCATCAGTACTTAATCCTCCTACACAATGGAAGGCCGCTTAGCACAACTCATCTTGGAGGCAGTATGATGTTGCACCAGTACTATCTCCCAGGACAGGGTATTTTGCATGACTAAGCCTAACTTCCAAAAAAAAAAATTCATTAAAAATAATTTTTTCATCAACTGCTTTGATTTTTTTTTTTTTTTTTTAACTAACAATAATATAATCGTAAATACAAAATATCAAGACTTTTTGAAAAAAAGAATTAATTAAAATCTAAATGCAAAATAAAATATTTGACTCATCTTTATTAAATAATGTACAAAACTTATCTATATCTGAACACATGTACAAAATAAATTATACATGATTCAATAATATAGCATAAATGATTCATCTGTAGTGAAACACAATTTGAGATTGAGCTTTTTAATTATTCCCATTACAATAATTAATCCCAGGAGTTCCCTTATTTTAGGCTCATTTAAAGGAGCAAACTTGGATTAGAGATGTTGATTTTGGAGAAGATGGATTTTCACTCATCTTTTGTTCATAGAAATTATTAGGTTCTGCAATGATAGTTCAACTGCCTCAGCCATAAACAGGAGCACAAACACACATGCACCCTTTGGACTGAACTATTCTTAAAATACAGTGAATAGACATGATTTATGTCATAGGGTCTGATCTTTTTCCCCTGTTTATTTCCTGGCATTCAAAGAACACAGACATAAGAAGACAGAAAATTACTTTTAAGTAATCTAAATTGATATGGTTATCATCATTTATAATTAGCCATTTTACTACATCGTATTTAATTTTGTGCATTTATTTATTTATACAGTTATACAAATACAAGTGTTTTTAAATTAATTTTGCTATATAAATATTTTCTTATAATAAAACTTAGTAAGTAAATTTCCTTGTAATATAACGGTAATTATAACTATTTAATTTCTATGTTTTGTTGTATTATTTTCATTATTGCATTACAATTAAAATGTAATAATGGCCAGTATTGGGATCCACCCCATCTAATAGTTTAATTATCATTATAATTAATTATATTATTTATACAATAATAAACAATCATTGCAATTATATTATAATTGATAAGTTAGCTAAGTTTTCCATTCTCAGCTTCCACGTCGCAAAATGTAATTACTTTTTGTTGCAATATCTTAGCACCACTATGAAATGCCTTGTTTTCACCAGCTAAATCTATTTTAAGGATAAAACAAGCTATCCCTAACACTCACATAAAAGATCCCAATATTGGCAAATATCAAGTTAAAATAAAATACGATCTAGGTAAATCCCACTTAATCAGGTTGGAAACCTATTGACCAGGGCTCACCAATAGCTGAGCAGTAAAATCGCTGAATACTGGTAGTTTGATTCGAGATTCGAATTTCACAAAAAGGCTGGCTGCATAGGCGTTTTCATAATTTTCCTTATGTGTAGGAGCCAGTTTCCCTTAGATGGTTCTCCATGAAAGCAACCCTTCCCTTAGGCAGATAGCCCATCAGCACTTTGCCTAATAAAACCAAAACTTATTGACCAGTTTCTTTTTTTTACTACAAAAAGAATACTTCCGCAAAAGAAAGAGTTACAAAAGAATACAGTTCCATGACTTTTAGTGTTTATCTTTAATAGTAAGCCATGAAATATGCATTATTTATATAAAATTCATAAATTGTAACATAAACATTTCAAAATTCTTCCCAGGCTGCAACCTGTGAGAATCTTATCATTTGTCTGTGCGAATATAATATATGCATATACATAAAATCCAAAGGCATGAATTACAATGATGAGAGCATCACTTGATGATATCGGGCTTTCCCTCTCTCAGTCCCATAAATTCCCTCTTTTCGGTGAAGAGAATACTTTTACATGACCTCTCACCTTGTGGCACATAACTAACACCCTTTTTGTACAATTCTATGTGTTTTGGTAGAATGCCAGTCAATGTTGCATTTGAGATGGTCAAACTACATTAGATCAAACATTCATTGGATCATCATCAAAAAAAAAATAGTGAAAAAGTCTATTTCATTCATTAAATTAAATTTACTGCTGCAATTTTCATAAATTCAAGGCTTGAAATTACTTAACAGATTGAATTCATAATGGAATACCCACTGTTGTACTATAGTAGTGTGAGGTTAAAGTAAAACAAGTTTTCAATTTAGTCTCCAGCAAAATTTCAGTATCCTAATCGCTATCCTCTAGTTGTTTCTATTTTCTCGTCATTATTAGAATAGTCACTTACTTAGGCTCATTTACATTAGAGTATACTCTACTTAATTTAAAAGTCTCTTCCTCTTAGACATCGCAATCATACTTTTATTCTCTTAATTAGTACAAAAAACTTATGTTACAAAAAACTTATGACTATCTAAAGAAGACGCAAATTGAATACAAACCAGAATTCCTAAAATCACAGCTCCACTACTAATCTCACCCCCCCCCAACTTTTTTTTTTAAAGATCTGAAACTATCCGATGTTTACATCATGTGAAGCCTCAGTTGCCCTCAGAATTTGAAAGTACTTTATGGACACAAGGTCAGCAATGATTAGGTTCAAATAAACTAACTGTAGTAGATACTACATGCCATCAGTGGTTCAAAAAATTCTAAAAGAATGTGTATATTTAAAAATGCATTAGTGACATTCAGGACTCCTGCATATATGACCCACCCATCTCTAAAGGATTTTCAATTCAGCAACATGCCATTGTGAAGAGGTTAATAACACCAAACATCTTCTTCAGTTGCATTACAGCCTATCACAGGCCAAAGCCATCTCAACAAGCTTCCTCAAACAGATCCAATTAGTCAATATGGTCTGCTAACAACAGATTTTTAGAGTCCTGAGATTTGCCTCCACAAAGTCTATCCATCTTGTGAGAGATCTTCCTCTTTTCCTGGTACCTTCTACATTAGCAAAGGTCACCTTTTTAACAGAGTCCAAGCTATCCTATCTAAAAATATGTCCCAGCTACCTGATGCAATAAGATTTGATGACTCAGATAATATTAGGTTGTTTGTATCTTCCATATATTTCATGGTTAACACAATTCTCCATCTATTACTTTCTCTAATTGGAGCATATATTTTTCACAATATTTTTCTTTCAAAAATTAGAAGTCTTTCTTTATCTGTTTTTTGTTAATGGCCAACATTCACTACCATACAATATGATAGGTCTAATAAGAGTTTTATAAAGATTTTTGTCTTGAAGTTTAATACTTTAAACATTAAAAAATTCTTTAAACCACTATAACATCTATTAGCTCTAAATAATCCATTAATTTCAACTTCAATATTATTATCAGCAGAGATGATAGTACTGAGATACATAAATTGAGAAAAGCTCTCGAAAGTATGACTTTATAAGTAGGGGGAAGGGATTATGTACTCTACTTGTTGTACTTTGTTTTGCACTCATTAATGGTATCCAATGAGCACCAAACTAATGATAGTAGTTAAAAGGAAATAATTTTTCTCAGTAAGATGGTGAGGCCCATAATCACTACATGATCAGAATTCTCATGCTGTAAACAGCATACTGAAAGAACTGTTACATAATACTAATTTATTTCTATTTATTAAACAATATGCTGCATGCATAAAAACTGTTCTGCATTTGAAGTAATCTCACCATATAGAGTTATTCAAACATAATAATTTCTAAACAAGTTACGCATTCACAAATAAAGGTTAATTATCAATATGATATACAGAGGCTGTTCACACATTTTTTAGATGATGTATATTGTATTCATAAAACTAAATTACATAAAATTCTTATGTTTTAAATGTTCTATTTGACATCCTGTATTCTGAACTATCTTTCGACACTGCAATTTCCAGGATAATAATGCCTTTTGAAGTGGCAGAAGAGGTATTCTATCCCATTCCTCCCGAACAGCTTTCCAGAGTTCTGTTAAGGTTTGGGAACAACGTTTGGATAATGCAATTTTTAAAAGTCCGAAAGCACAAAATCCATAGGTGACACATTGGGAGATTTAGTAGGGATGTTAGTGAAGGGTATGGCCTTAATACCAGTTTTTTGTTCCATTTCTTTTAGGAAATTTTCAGTGGACTTTGATGTATGACTGCTAGCTTTGTCCTGATGGAGTCTCACAGATTAATGGCACTGTGGATAAAGCGATGGTATTTCCTTCAGAAAAATTGGAGATAAAATATGTTCTTGATAGTATTTGAAGTTAATCTTGACATTTTTTTTTTGCCCTCTTTATTTTTAACTTCCATTATAAGAAAAACCAGCAACAATCATGATCCCTTAGAAAAACTTTCTTTCGATTCTTTGAACCATGTACTTAATTTTTTTTCTCCCCTTTTATAATAATAATTGGCTCTTTTTATTGTTACAATCATTTAAAATACACCCATGCTTCATCTACTGTGACAATTGTTTCCTTTTTGTCTTTGGATAAGTGTTCTCATATAAATTCTGCAGCGTGTCCTGCGTTGAGCGATATGCTTTGGAAAGACGATGCACATTGTGTTTTTTTTTCGCTTTCTTAAGTTTAATCAACTTTATCATTTTGTTACAGTGGACACCAAGCATTTTAATGATTTTGCCACTGTCCTTTGACTAAGGGATTTCTTCTAACATTAAACAACGTACCTTTGCAATAGTCGAAGATGTCCATTTCTTCCTTGTCACTTGTTTTTGAAATTTTTGTCCCACTTGAGGCCCAATTTGACATATTTTTCCTTTCTTGTTGATATATACTATCGACGCTTTAGATATCACAAAACCATGACTCTCACATCGTTTTTGGATAACGGAGTATGCATTTCTCTTCGGAAAGAGCGTAAATTAGCCTCGAACCACTGCTTTTGTTAAATTTGCCATTTTGAATAAAAACAAAACTTTCAAGCCACAGACAATAATTTTGACTTTTAAAAACATAGTACATTTGCAATTACTTCTTTTGAAGCAAACAATTTATTATTACCGCTTACCAAAATTGTCTAAAAAATGTGCGAACAACCTCTGTATCATTTATAAGATGCAATAAGTAAAATCCTATGGATTAATATTCTGTGATATACATTCATATAATACTTACTCCAGGAGAAGGTTTTGAAATTCTATCTGTAGATGAAGAAGTCTGATCAATAGAATTCTGTGGACTTAAAATAGGAGAGGAAGTCATGGAACTGTCATCATCAACTATTGAAGCAGGTCTAGAACGACGGCCATATTTCTTTCGCCCTAATGTAAATTTTGGTGACACTTCACGATCTAGCAAAAAGTCAATCTTTTAATAAAAATTATACATTTTTAAATATAATACAAACAAATATGCAATAATATATAAAAAATGCAAAATAATTTAGGTACATATACTTAATAAGAAAGATCACATATAAATGACAAAGATTTAGAAACTGGAATACAACTTAGAAATATGGTTTTTTCTTTAAGTTTACTGAATTAAAATTAAAAGTCACTGTTTTTATGAGATTGCAAGCACTTTCAGAATAACTGCAGCACACAGATGGGTTAAAAATCTGCAGTAAAGACTGCTGTAAGAAGAGGGTTAACATTTAAATTAAAGAAAAGTGCTCAGGAGGCAGCACATGCAGTTATATGAAAACATCAACTTTACAACAAAAATATGATGTTAGTAATAAAAAGTTTTTTAATAACTTTAGTGACTTCAAATGATAATGAATAATCTTCCTTTACATTATGCTGAAGGAATACCTTTTTATATAGTATTTCTAAAGTATTCTGAAATGTTCAGCTTCTATTTTGTTTCTAAAGTGTGTTTTCGTTTTTGCAATATTTTGGAACAGCATACAATAAAATATTTTCAAAGTTACAAGATGCTGGCATGACTTTACTTGAAAATGGATAAATAATGGCAATGTAGGATCAAAAATCATAAATCAGTTATGATATCTTGCTTTTATATGCTTAAGGCCTATCAAAATACATCTGCTTTTATCATTGAAATGTATTTTTTTCTAAATTTATTTTAATTCTTTAAGTTAAGAAAAAATCAACAACTCTAAAAGAGAAAATAAGGATTTTTACTAAAATAAATATAAAATTTCAGTTTTAAAATGTACTTGTAAAGGCAAAAAACATGCACGGAACTGTTACTTGGAATCACACTTATAACATCTAAAAGTGAATACAATTGCAAAGTAGTCTTTCAGATGATGTTGCTAATCCCCTTCCCTTCTATCCATTTCTAAAATTTATTTTGAGAACTGGAGAGACCAAAATTTATTTTGAGATTTATTTCTCAAAGACATTCTCCCCAATAAAACAATAAACAGAAACAAAAATATATATATCATTATGTTGATAGACATACGTGATGTCACAAGCAATCATTAATCTTCAATAAACCAATTTTTTTTAAACATTTATCCAGTTTTTAAGAAGAATGGGTATAAGTTAATCACTATTTATCTGTCTTTCCCTCCTATTTTGAAAAAACAAATGAGTTATGGAACATTCCTCATATTACATTTTGAAAACAGTCAAAACACTGCTCATGTTTTATTTTTCTCCAATTTTCAAAAAAAAAATTACATTTAGATTAGGCTTTATTTGATTACGGCAAAGCACATGAAGGCTATCTGCTTAAGGGGAGGGATGCCTTCAGAGGCCTTTCTACAAAAACTGGTTCTTATTATGAGAAACTTATAATGAGAACTGTTTGTTACATATGAGAAAAAGCACAAAAATCAACCATGCAGCCAGCCTGTTCATTTGGGTTGACCAGGTTGACTACTAGTATCCAGCAAATCACTTGGCCACTTGTGAGGCTATTAACATTTATACACATCTTTCTTATGACACATGAGTAAAGCATTGAAAAAGCATAAGACATAAACTAAACGCTTTGAAAAATTATACTGATTGCTAGTTATCTTGTGACAGTAAATAAGATTCTACTAGTCGAAAAAATTATATTTGGTATTAAATAAAAAGCATCATATCTTTTTTTCAAAACTAAATAAATTAGAAAAAAAAAATTTCCATGAAATATTGAAAACTTGTGAACAAACAATACAAAAAAATTTCATAAAACTGAAAATTGTGAAGGGATGAAATATGTGGAATTTATAAATTCATGAGATCATAGTTTTGAAGTGTGCTTTTAAAAATAACAAACCTCACTGGCAGGGAAAGAAATCTGCTACTTATATCTGATATTATTTCATTGTAAATTATCGCCACATAATTATTCAAGATGTTGCAGTAATAATATCTTTTTAATATATAATAAAATATAAACTAATAAATTGCTTATCTAAATTACATATTTATTTAAAATTTACAAGCATAAAAAGGTTTCCAATTTATTAGCATTTCAAAGAAATTAGAAAAAGTAATATTTTTAAAAAACACACACAGAAAAAGGAAATATTTAAATACATTACATTAAAACTTTCAAATACCTGCAGCATCATCACTTTTACAGCTTTCAGTAATTTCATCATTTGGAATGGCTTGAGTTAAAATTGCTACAAAGCATTCTTTGAAATCTTCAAATTTGACCTATAAATATTCAGAGGATAGATTAATGAAGGAAATTATAAAGAAAAAATAATCAAACTACATATTATTGCCAATTAATTATATATTTTAATAAAACCCGGTTAATATAACTAATACCTTAATACAAAAGCAAATTTCTGGAAACTATGCATTGCATTTACACTAATCTGCCTGTACACTGATCTAAACAAAATTACAAATAAATTCTGGACACATATCAATAGCAGGAAATGCAAAATTAACCATCATTTAGATTCATAACCATATTAAGAAATTTACAATAATTGCATAACACATAATGAAATAATGGTTAAAATTTTTCAAACATTCAAAATTAATTTAAATGAACTATTTTCCTTCTTCTGTAGAGAGCTGTAAATGTCTTTTGCCAAGACAATGAAAATGTCTTATGTAATCATGATATATTATACAAATGTGAAAACCTTTCTCATGCAAAGAAACAATTTCTCAATGCAATCACTCTTGCTGAATGTAACAGATGCTAAATCAAAAGCAAAATGAAAACTGACGAAATGCAGAAAACTTACGTTCACTTTAAATAACAATAGAGATAAAATGAAAAGAAAAATGTATTCCTTTCAAACTACTTCCATTGATTTAATTATAAAAAGTTCCAAAATGTTTATACAGAAGATTATTTTTTATAATAAAAATTACAAATTAATATTCAAAATATGGTACACAATAATTTTCTTCCACATTTCTTCCCAAAACATAATTTTGCTTTTTTTTATTTCAAGTATTGTTACATACTTGAAATGAATTGAATACTTGAATGAATCTTCCTGCCTAGATTGCATATTCAAGGGTGTTACTTTGGTAGACGGTTGCACGGATTTTGGCAATTTTTTGGCGATTTTTCTTTTGCCGAGTAATACGACTTATGCTAAACCCATTGCTGGATAAGTTATTTATGGTAACCGATACTTTGTGGTCATTTTATTTAAAAAACTAGCAGCTTCGCTGCCAGCCTTCGTCTGGCTTTTAAATGTACCAGAAAAATGGCTGAAGGGAACAAAAACATTAAAGTTAAAAACTGCGTAGAATTTTATTCTGCAGAACAACTTCATAAAAAAGTTATTATGTATAACAAAATTACAATGAAATAAGCAATATCCCTTAATACAAATATTAATTATCCAAATAAATAAATTAACCAACTTCCCTTTGAAAATTCTTAAGAACTCAAATGGTATAAAGGAGGTTAAGAACTTTGTTTCCTAAAAAAAAAAATCACTCAAAACAGTTCAATATCTTAAAAACAGTGAAATGAGCAATACATAACATAAAAGAATACAAAAAAAAAAAAAAAAAATTCAGAAAAGCAAAGTATAATTAATGATATTTTATCTTATATTTTCAAGAGAAAAAAATTAAAATTGAATAAGCTATATCCCTTAATACAAATATTAATTATCCTAATAAAAATTAACCAACTTTCCGTTGAAGGAAAAAAATCATTCAAAACTTTTCAATATCTTACAAACAGTGAAATAAGTAAAAAATAACATGAAAGCAACTCAAAAAACATAAAATTCCGCGCAGAATTTTACTCTGAAGAAAAATTTTATAAAAAAAAAATATAATAATAATATAAAATAAAATAAATAAAAAATTTATTATATATACATATAAAAATGACAATAAAATATGCCAGCCTCTTAAAACAGTGACATAAGAAATACAATGAAAAATTGTTGACAAACCCATATTTCTAAAAGCATGAAACTATTCAAAATAATGCGGTTTCATCAAAAATCTATCAACAATAAGACACGAAAATTGTTGCCACAATCACATTTTTAAAGATGTGAGATGTGAGAAGTGTACTCGGAAGCTTCATTTAAAAAATTTTTAAAAAATACAAAATATTATCATTTTTCAAAAATTCTTTTTGTAAAAGCAGTCGCAAGGATGAAAGTTTAATGTGTCCAAAAATCAAAGAAAAAAAAAACTGTACATTTTTAAAAATAAACTTTTTTAGAAAAAATCCCATTGATCCATTAGCTTCCTTTGTTAAATAAATTCGTATTTAATCGATTTATTGAAACACGAAATTTATTTTAAATTCATAAAATACCTGAGTGCCTACGTTTCATGACGATGTGAAAATGGAGTGTGTAGAGTAAAATCTCGCTTTCCTATAGCCCATTATGTCTGAAAATGATGCAATTTCATCACAAAACATAAAAAAAATTTGAATTCGAATTTCGAAAAAATCGCTTTGAGGTGCACTGGCTGTTGTCTAGATGCACCTATGTATCAAATTTCGTAACCGTGGGTCTATTAGCTTACGCGCAGCGCGAACGAAAGACACACACAGACAGACTCTTTCTTTTATTATATGTAGAGATAATGCATTTTATTATGCATAAATTCCGTGTTTTAAATATTATTTATGGCTTCTAAATATTAAAAATCAATTTAATTTTGCATTTTTATTTGAAATTAAAATTTTATTTTTTATGATATTTTATGAAATTTTATGTTGTGGATGATGTAATCAATGATGTCACTTTACTTTAAACATGGACCTTTATAAGAGATAGACTAACCCAGTGGGCCGGGTGCGCGTCACCGACATGTCGGCAAGAAAGAGTAGGGACGATCTGGTTTACGTTAACACTGAAACCTATGGCGTTTGTATCACATAACTCTTTTTAATTATTAAATGTGATATGTTATATAGTGATGAGATTATGAAAGCCACAGTTTTTTCCAAACAGGATTTAATATATCTCATTGAAGCACTTTTTACTGCATTTCGTGCACTTTTTCACGCATAATTTGTGTACAAACATCTTTACTTTGGTAAAACGGTAAAAACTCTAAGCACAAAATTTATGAACTTAATTTTGCATACAAATAACATAAAATTAAATAAGATTGATAGTACATGAAGCTTCGAAACAAATAAAGCAAAATTAAACAAGATCTGATATATATATTTTTTTAATTTTAAGAGCATTTACACGCAGTGGTTTATAAAATTATTATAACATTACAAGACGATCATTTATTTGATCATATGATTATTAATTATTAACATCATATGATGATTATTTATTTTAATAATTCATAAAATTTGCATGATTATTTATTTTAATAATTCATTAATTCATTTTCTCAGTGTAATGAAAATAAATAAATAAATAAAATCTGGAAGCACTTAGATTTTATGTTACGCTCAAAGGGACATTTTTTAACGCTTTGTGTGTTACCTCTATTTATTGAATATTATGTTCTTCGCACGTAAACAACACAAAATTCAATTCAACAGCAGTATCACAAAATATTTGAAAACAGCATATCTTCAGAACTTCCACGCTGGAGATAAAAATGTTATTTTCCACACAGTGTTGCCATTGCTTGCTTTGAACTCATTGAGTTTCTTAATCAATAATTCATTAAAGTTTTACAAAATATGAAATGGATTAAAACAAATTCGAAATTCGGCTGTTCGGGTGGAGGATTACATTGTTCAAAATTTGATGGCTCTAAATACCGTTGTTTTTCCACAATGCGAGAAACATACATGTATTCATGCAGATTATTTATTATTAAATTTCTTTAAATATAATACAAGGCGATAATATTTGGTGGCAACAATTTGCAAATTGAAACAGACGTTTATAATGAAACAGAGCAAAATGCCGTTTTGAAACTAATAGCCTTTCTCGACTATCACCCCTTTGGGCTAATAAATTAAAATCACAGTAAATAAAAAAATCTTGTGCAGAATTAGAATTAAATTAAAAAAATAATCACTATAAAATGTTAGCACAATCAATTATTACAGTTTACAATTTTGACATTACAATAAATGTATAAAAATTATTAAGGTGTTAAAAGTGTTTATCACTATGATGTATTGTGAAATATAATTGAAATAAAACTCCTTTATATAAAATTCGCCTAAATTTAAAACATTATTACCTAATTAAAAAAATAGGTACTTCTTTTATAGTGGTGTAACAACAGGACACCCGTGTCGGGTAAAAGAAAGACAGGTTGTCTTTTAAATTATTTATTTGATAAACTAAAATAGATTTCTTGATTAAAACATAAAAATAAACTGATCATTACAGCCCTAAATCATACAATATCCGCTAACGCAGATTGGATGCAAAAAAAAACGTCCTTTTTACTGTAGTTACAGCATAAAAAAAAAAACTATTGTTCTACAGAAACCACTGGCGTGGTTTAGAACGCAAAAGATGCGTCCTGTCACCTCAAAATCACATGAAGAACTCTTTTACACAAAGATTTCACTCGTTTTGTTATCTGCGAGGAGAAACATAATTAGTTCCTTGTGTCCGGAAACTCCCAGAGGGTTTTATCTGCAGTCCTGCTTTTTGCAGGTATGGTCCATTTTGTCCGCAAACAAACAGGAAGTTATAATTCAGCACCTGTGCCCATGGGAGTGCTAGTAGCTATATCGTCACAGTGGCTTTAGCAAGAAATGGAAGCTGGCATATTTCCAACCCTGATGAGAAACAATCTACACATGTGCACATAGTTTACATTTCACATATAAAAGCAATTTATCATTTAGCAGTTGGAAATTTTCTCAGATTTTATTTTTAAATACTTAATAAGCTCAATATTTTCATTATTCATTGATGAAAAAAGATGCCATAGTCCTAACGATGTGTCATGATAATGTGTTTAATGAATTATTAGCAGCAACTGCCGAATAGTGGAAACCTGAAAATGTATGTTTAAAATTAATTTTGGATATGTTTCTATAGATTGTTTATTTTAAATAAACTCCTTAAAAAGAATAGATTGTTTATTTTAAATAAACTCCTTACAAATATGTGTAAAATAATAAATACAAATTTATATAAAATTGATTCCACATGTGTATAATATATAAATTATGTACTGTAGACAATAAATGCACTGCTTGCATGTATAGGCAACCAACTGTTTCTCATCAAGGTTGTAACACACCAATATCCATTCCTTACTACGCCTGTTTTAACATAGAAGCACAAAAACACATTTTTAATTTCTGCATATTGTAACATTTTAGCACTTATTTTAAGCATAAAAATGTAAACTACATTTTTTAATGTTTTATAAAGGTCATACTTCAAAGTCACTTTCAAGAAGATGATGAACCAAAAAATTTGCATGTTCAGCAAGATGTAACTTTTCACATAGATTGTGCAATTCTGTCTCGTTCAGACGTCCACTTCCAGTAGTATCACAGCTATCAAATACTTCCTTCAGCTGTGACACATATGTATCTTTACTTTCAGATTCATCCATTACTGCAATGCAAAATTAATATTATATATATATATATATATGCATTTTATATTAATAAATGGATATTTAAATGCCATATGATTCCTTTAGTCAATTATAAAATGATCTGAGTGTCATTTGGAGCAGAGGTCATTTCTTTCATCTATACTGGTTCAGCATGATTAAAAAATATCTGGCAGAAATACACAAGCACATTTTGTAATGGAATGCATAGAATGCATATGCAAAATGGAAAGTAAAGGGTATGGCAATTATATGAAATAGCAGGTAAATAGCAGTTAAGAGGTAAAGGGTACGGTTGAGCAATAGTTAAAATGTTCCCTTTGTATGTAAACCATCATTCAACTTTGCGGATTTTGAGCAGTATAATTTGACACATGAATGCAAAGCTCAACGACATGCATTTTATCCAGGGGCTGCAAATGGTAAAACAGTAGTTGGTCAACTGCTCTATTTCCATTAGCAGCCTCTGCTCCAGAATCATTCTCTTTGACCAGCAGTTCCATTTTAGTGACAAGCCCATAGATAAAAATGCTAGTCAGCATGTTCCATCTTCACATAGTGATATATACTGCTCAACATTCACAAAAAGAATAACATTTTACACTAGAGGATACTTTTTTCTATTGCTCAACAGCAGTAGTACAAGTAACAGCAACCCCTGTACCACCCATTTCACCACACACATTCCATTACAAAAATTGCTACTTTCTTTTCATGTATAATGACTTCTTTATACATGAAAACTTCTGCCAGCTTTTAATGTATCCAGTTTCGGGTTGGTTGTATATTGGAAGAAATGGAATCAAAGTAGAAAGTGAGACAGCCATGTTCTAATTATAATTAAGAAAATACCATTTGTTCATGATCTTTTGAAGAACTCTGAAATTTCAGGGCTAAGCTCATAATGCCCGGAGGGTTAAAAAAAGAAAGCTTTCTCAAAAAAAGGTAAAAGTTTTATTACCAATGTTTATTGTTTTTTATTTTAATGATTTTTCTTTTTATTTAATTCTTAGTATGCTGCTATTTCGACAATGGCTGCTATCTTTAACAAATTAGCTTTGAGAAAAATTAGTCACCAACGATATTGAGAATGATCTTCAATGTCACTGATGAGTGGGGGTGCAGATAATTAGAAAGTTCTAAAAAACTGGAAAAGTTTGATAATATTTTCAACCTGCAACAGATTTCATGGTTAGAGTAGACTTTAAGGTACCCCTTGTATTATGGCGAAGTTGTTTCATTTATCGCCAAGTTGTTGTTTCATTTATGGTAGCCTGACGTAATCGGGTGCATGATTCTGAGAAATTTTGAATCATGGGATGCTTTGTAAGCGTTTTTGTAGTGTGTGTTAAAACCGTTTAGATGGATTTGAATGAGTTTGTAGGAAGAAAGGCTCAGATGGTCACTATATAAAGTGGGTCGATCAGAAAGAGTACCTGGTTTGAAAAAAGTCATTTGAGTATGATTGATATTTTGATTTTTGCATGGCTCTGGGTGTACGAAGCGAACTTCGTACACCCACAGTTGTTGTTTCATTTATCGCTAAGTTGCTGTTTCATTTATGATAACCTGACGTAATCGGGTGCATGATTCTGGGAAATTTTGAATCATGGAATGTTTTGTAAACGTTTTTATGGTGTATGCTAAAACCGTTTAGATGAACTTGAATGAGTTTGTCAGAAGAAAGGCTCAGATGGTCACTATGTGAAGTGGTCGATCAGAAAGAGTACCTGGTTTGAAAAAAGCATTTGATTATGATTGATATTTTGATTTTTGCATGGCTCTGGGTGTACGAAGCGAACTCGAAAATCATGGTAAGTGAATATTTGCTTTTTGTAGTGCTTAAATGTATAACATGTTTTTCCTTTTTGTAAGCGCATAATGTATAACATGTCCAGGATGTTTTGTAAGCGCTTTTGTGGTGTGTGTTGGTTTTATTGTTTAGATGGTAGAATGGCTGAGTTTCTGTATGATTTGAAACGAAAAGGGAAAAGAGCGTTAATTGACTGGTGTGTAAATGAAGGTTTACTTAGTAGCGATTATAGGTGTCCTTTATGTAGGAAGGATATGCGTGTAATCGAACGTAAAAACTGTTTAGATGGATTTCAATGGGTTTGTAGGAAGAAAGGTTCAGATGTGACAATGCCAATATACAAATTCGAGTTCAGATAATTTTAGGAAGTTTTTGGATGCTGTTACGGAATTTTGTGTGCCACAGACTAAAGACGAAGGAGCTTCTAAATAGAGTAAGTGGATATTTGCTTTATGTAGTGCTTAAATGTATAACATGTTTTTCCTTTTTTATGTTATTGTTTGGTTTAAAATGTAGTTTATTGAGATTATGTATTTTTTGTTTGCCTGTATTGTAGAATTGGGTGCTCTTTTGACTTTTTAAGTGAAAATATATCAATGTGTACATGGACAAACTGAAGGAAGTGCACAATGCAAGTTTGTGCAATTCTTGGATTTTTTTTAGGTGAAAATAGGTCTACGTGTACATGGATAAAGTGAAGGGGAGTGTGCAATGCCATTTTTATGCAATTTGAGGATTTTTTTAAGTGAAAATAAGTCAATGCGTACATGGATACCGAGCTTGTGCAATTTTTTGTGTTGTTATTTTCGCTTTGTGTAGTGATTTTTTGCGCAAAAATTGTTATGCGAGCCAAAATAATAAGTCAAAGAATTGCACAAACTCGGTATCCATGTACTGGCAAAAATCGCCAGGCGGTACCTTAAAATATACTTTTACCAATTTCATTTTCAGGCTGTTTTGATTATGATGTTGTATGCATGATATTACTGGTTTAGTATTTATTTTTCCTACTAAAATGGTTAGCATTTTAACTTATTAACAATAAGAAAATAAGCAATAATTTTTAGACGTGTAGTATTTATAACATTTCGAATTTTCACACTCACTTTTGATTCCGTGATATCATTCTATCATTAACTATTTAATCATTAAAATGCAGGTAACCTTTAATTTTCCACTGATCTGAAAATTAGCATTAAGTTCTCCACACTATCATTTATTTTTCTGTATTTTTAATTATTAAATTTCCCCCTTGAATCTTAACCATATTTAATGTATTGTCAAGTGAAAAAGCAGCAGCTGTTTTCTTCCAAAAGCACGGAATTTAATATATTGACAAAAAAATGTCAAAATAGCCGCCAAATGAAATTATTTATAAAAAAGCAAAGAATTTGGGTACTTTTCCGTTTTGCCGGAGCAGGCGTTAAAGTCGCCAATAATGATACAACTGATGCCAAATGTAATATCCTCGCTGGTAACCTTTTACGCCTCATTTTTAAAACACTTTGCAGCCATTTCTTATCAGATTGATTGTTTCTTTCAATACTGGCATACAGTTATATAGAATTTTTATAAGACAGTTTAATTTTATGCCCTTTGGCCATTTGAGGTAATTAAGTCAATTAGGATGCAATCACACAGCTCAACTGAAGGCGAAAATATAGAAAAGTCACAGGTTAAATTCATCCATTCTAATGAGAATGCACTATGGAGTAAAGCACTGCGGTTTTACATAATTTCTGAATAAACTATTCGTACATTAAATTCTTGCATTTAAACTTGTATTCCAAATTAAGATTTAACTTGAATTAACATAGAGAGAATTAGATTTACTGAGAGAATTAGATTTTTGTAGCGTAGTTTACATGAGATGAGATCACTTGGGGTTCATGTGATATGAAAAGGCGAATCACGATGAACTATGAAAGTATAATAAATTCTTAAATTAATATCTTTTTAAAAATTTATTGTCTTTATTTACTGGATTTTTTTTACAAAATTTTAAACGATATTAAAATGTTTATGCCTTAAATAAAACATTTTCAGAACTAACATTGGTTGATCTTTGGATTATGGTAACTTGGCGATTTTTTGGCGAAAATTTGGCGACCAACTCTGCTACAGCAACCCTCTATTTTTTTTTCGCCGCCATTTTGTCTTCACGAAGTAAAGACATGTTTCTTTTCTTTTTATTTACTGAACACTTTTTCCAACAATCTATTAGCCGAATTACACTTATGCTAGAAATTTTATGTAACAAAACTGCTTAATCATGAAAAATATTAACTGCAAATTTGGAAAAAAGTGCACAATCGCAAACTCCTTGCGCGTTTTTTAGAATAGCACATACACCTAAACCATTTACACGTCGACTTATTTTTACTTAAAAAAAAATCCCAGAATTGCACAAAAATGGCATTGCACACACTCTTAACTTTATCCATCTACACTGCTATTTTCTCATAAATTACAAAAATTTGCACGAAAATGCAAAAAAAAATCAAAAAGCTAAATACAAAATGCTAAAACCTACTGCAGATATTTTTCCAAATTTTCCCCTTTTTCCGATTAAAAAACTGTAATTCGTACATTAATGTCACATGACACATCTCATGATCTCTCATTTCCCTCACACAAATAAATGCGTAATCGGAACTGAGTACTTCTCACATTATTACCAAAGTCCTAGGTAGTAACCTTTATCGCCTCCAAAATGTTGCCAAACTGCCAGTTATCATATTCCAAAAATCAGCACTAACATTTTTTATGTGTATTCTGTATGTTTTTGCCAATAAAGTCTGCTTGGCGAGATTTGCGTCAGCGAAACGGAAAAGTACCAGAATTTGGGATATAATATAAAAAGCTACAGGGGTTAAAAAAAAGTGTCATCATGCTGATAATCGATTTCATAGTTCCAGAATTCCTTTTCTTACTGATATGCACTTCATACATTATTGGACTGAAGAACTAACTTACATAAGATGGTGCAACAGACAGTTAAAAATGAGTGAAAACTTAGTAACTGATTGGACCAACTATTTGAGATTTTTTTTTTTTTTTTTTTTTAATGAAATGATCAAAAGACAAAATTGGTGAATCTTGGAAGACCATCAAGATTGATGAAAGTCTACTTGGCAAGGAAAAGAACAATTAAACAGAATTTTATCAAAACAAAAGGTTTCTGGAGTAATGTGCAAGGAAATGAAAGACTGTTACATTGTGCAAATTCTAGATAGAGGTGGCAAAATGCTAATGGAGGTGATAAAAGAACATGTACATAAATATTATTCATTCCAACTGCTGACTAATCAAAAAAGGAAATTATTACAAAACAACAACAAAGTTTTCAACATTTCACAGTGAATTATAAACTCAACTTTGTGTAGCCATTATACCGCACAAATACTCAGAAAATCGAACAACTTTGGTACAGCTCATTGCAGAAACAAAAGACAAAGAGAAGCAGCTCCCCATGACTTGCATTCATATTTACTAAATTAATGTGGCAGCAGCATATAGGATGAGACAAAGTTTTTGATTCTATTATAAGAAGCAATCACCAAATTAAAGCCTTTACAAATGTAAATTAATGTTATTTCATTAAAGGTAAATAAATATAATTTCATGTTAAATGTCTAGAAATGTTTCATATTGTTAAATACGTGTTCTTTTTTATTTTTCCACATTGTATTTTTTCATTTTTTGAAAGCTGCTTCTTTTTAGTGTTTTCTAATATTCAACATATTAATTTTAAATGACAGCAAAGCATATGCAATGGCCACTTAAATAATGAAGTATCAAATCTGTCTTTTTATCTCTACCTTTCACATTTTTGCTAGATATTTTTTAATTCTCCTATTTATAATGTAAATGTAAAGATTATATAAATTGAAATATTAGAATATATAAAACTTTCAGACATATGTCAGCCCAAGAACTGTTGAAAGGAATACTTTGATGCCAAGCATCCACAAATTTCAACCACAGTATTTTATAAACCCTTCAAAATAGTCTAGTATAAAAAATACAGGGCCACATCAAAGGATGTTCATAAATACGACCCCTTTCTGAAAAGAAGTAGCATAGAATTAAAGATTTAAGTATTATTTAAATACTCAGAAAAATTATGTTAAGGTAACATATATATAAAGGCATTTATTAAAAATTAATATTTTAATTTGTGAAATATCAAATATATTGCACAAGTAAAATTTATAAGCATTTGGGTAAACTACCTAGATTTATTTGAATTTAATATCAGTCTTAATTTCGACTATAAAATCAATAATGCTCAGAATTTTATTTACCATATATTACTTCGATCTTTTATTTAGGCCATGGTTTATACTGATGACCTAATTAATCATTTAAGATAAAATACGTTATAAAATTTAGATATATACTTAAGCATCAAATTTAAAATGTTACTTTTTTAATAAACTAATAAACTACTTGCCTTCTTCTGCATACTATTTTATAACAAACACGAAAGTTCAATATCAGATGGCTGGGACATCAAAATATAACGTAGTCTTCCGCTTGAGGTGCGATGACAGGTAATGCAAAATGACAACATATACACAATTTTACTTTTCAAAAATATTTTAAAAATTACCTTGCAACTATACTATTGAACAACAATACTTGTTTTAACAATACAACTCATAGTACTGATCGTCATTATTTTTAAAGAGCAACGTTACCAGTCACGCAGCTTCTTGTTTTGTTTACGAAGAAAAGTTATTGTTACTTTGCAGCGCTTTTTAGCTGTTCAGTGATGAAAGGTTTTGCAACCTACTTTGTAAAGCAAAATAACAAGATGTTACTTTTGGAATAATTCAGATTTTTTTGCTCTTAAATTATCAGCCATATGCTAGAAATTAGCTTAAAAATCTGAATTCCTTTGGACAACATGAACCCTATTTAAGTATTTAAATTAAGTAGATATATTTGGACTTTATTTCGTTACAAATGTTTATTACATATATATATATTATTATATATTGCAACAATTTTATTCTTTCAAGTAGAAATGTGTTGTCATTTGTGCTGTTTTCATTCTTCAGTGCATACAAAAAGTATAAAACTTTATCCTAACACGTGCTAGTGTCAGCAATGGATCCGAAGGATTACCCGCCGCTTCCTCCGCCCGAGGTTGTGAACGTTAGTAAAGAAAATCTCTCTGGTTTACCCGAGGAGATATGTGCGTATGCAGACAAGGTGTTAGGAAAAGGTTGGAGTCAGCTATTAAACAAGGATTGTTACGATGCGGAGGATTATCAACTCGCGCTTCAGCAAGTTCTGCTTCTGAATGTTGCAGTTCATGTAGATGAGCAGTTAACGGAAGATGATCTCAATACATTATCCAGTGAGGAGGATAAGCAAAAACGTCTGGATATACACCAAAAAAGGAGTGGAATAGCCAAAAGACTGGCTTTGTTATTTCAGGGTAAGTGCGACGTTTTTAGTGCCCAAAATCCTAGTATTGTAAATTTATCTTGTGATAAGTTGAATGTGAATGTTGTTAAGCATGTCCCTAAGATGCAGGTTATATCTACTGTTACTTCTGTTAACTGTAATGATACTATATCAAGTGTAAAAAATGTTAGTGATAAATCTGGTGCAATTGCACAAACTCCTAGCGGAGAAAAAACAAAAATTTGCTTAAACGGCCTTCGAAAAAAGGAAAAAGATGTGTGAGCGAAATTCAGGATTCAGAAGGCTTTACACAGCCGCGTAATACGGCTCGGCCTGCTAAATTAGTCAAAGCTAATGCAGAAATTAATGTTAGCAATAAATTTGATAAGCTAGGATGAAAATGCTAATGCAGATAATACTGCCACTAATAATGATATGGAAGTTAGTGAAGAGAATGAGGTTATTGAAATGCAACAACCGAAGGTGAAACCGATAATGGTGAAGCCTCCAATTAAATTTTCGGATTTCTCTAAAAAATTGAGGGCTGAAACTAATTTAGACTTTGCAGCTAAAGTTACTGGCGAGTTTTTAAAAGTTTTTCCGAAAACGGAAAATGATCACCGTCAGATAACAAAATATTTGGATGAAAAAAGTGTAGATCATTATTTAATTACCAGAAAGATAGATAGGCCCATCAAAATAGTTATAAGAGGTTTACCTATCGATTGCCCCTCAGATGACATTTTTGAGGAGCTGATTAATTTAAAGTATAAACCTCGAAAAGTTACCCAAATGCACAGAACCAAATCTAAGGCTCCTATGCCTTTGTTTCAGGTTCATTTAGAGAATGTACCAGGGGTGCAATCTATTTATGATGTTAAAAGCTACTATGTTTCTTTGTTGAAATACATCCTTATAAAGTGCGTGGAAATGTTGTGCAGTGTCACAACTGCCAACACTTCCACCACAGTAGTGAAAATTGCAAACTACAACCAAAATGTGTGAAATGTGCGGGTGCACATCGTACTGATAAATGTAATGTTAAAAAATTAGACTCTCCTATTTGTTGTAATTGCCTGCAAGAAGGACAAACCGCCAATTATCGCGGATGTCCGAAATTCCCCCGACGTATAGTCGGAAATAAAACTGTGAATAAGAGTGCAAACTCAGAAAATGTAAATAATGGTGTTAAAATGCCTAGTACTTCTAATGCAAATTTGAGTTATTCTGCTGTGCCTCCGGGCGCAGTTATGCTAGTGTAGCCAAGGGTGACGTTCAAAGATCTGTAAATACTGTTAATAATTTTAATGTTGATATGCATAAACAGACTGTCAGCAGTGGTGGTGCTGCTAGTGCTACTGTTGGTTCGGGTATGTTTATGGACTTTCTCAAAATAATCAAAGAGGTGTGTGATGTTTTTAAAGGCACCACAGTTATGAATGTTTTTCAAAAAATCTCGGCAGCCATGCCTGAATTGCGGGCTGCGGAGCATTCAATCGATAAGTTGTTTATATTATTTAATGTTTTTGACAGTGTTTTTTCCAATGTTGAATAATTATGTATAGTGTAAACAATAGGTACTTAAGTATTATTACTTGGAACGCAAATGGTTTGTTCCGTAAGATTAATGAATTGCGGGATTTTGCAAGTGAGCACAGTCCCGACTTATTTTTCCTACAAGAACACAAGCTTGACCCTAAAATACCATTGTGTGTGGCAAATTACTATACCTACAAGTCGCACAGAAGTACTACCGCTCCTCGCCCACGTGGAGGTGGCACTGCACTTCTTGTCAAACGCTGCATTCCCCATTATCACGTGAACATTCCACAGCTCTCAGCCGTAGAGGCCACAGCTATCTGCATCACAACAGACACTAACACTCCATACACTTTTGTCTCCACCTACATTCCTCCCATGAGACCTGTGGCTGTCGTTCAGGCAGACCTTGAAATTCTACTCACACTTGGTACACATGTTATTATTGGTGGAGACTTGAACGCAAGACACCGCGCATGGAACTGCTACACTTCTAATGCAACAGGCAGACTGATTTATTCCTTGGCCGCGTCGGCACGGTTTAAATTGGCAGTTCCAAGTACCCCAACACGGTATGCTGCTGGGTCCACCGCAATTATTGATTTTTTTTTTTCCTGTTGCGGAACACCAGTTCTCCACTGGATATTTACGTACTGGACGAACTTTCAAGTGATCACAATCCTGTTAGGATTATTCTGGACCTCAGCAGATATACTACATCAGACACCAGGGCCTTTCGTACAGACTGGCAGGTCTTTGCCAAAGCCCTCTCCAACACCCAGTACACTTTACCCACGATACACAAGGGGAGTGACATTGATAGTTTGGTCAAGGACCTCACTGAAAATATACAAAATGCTTATGCGAAAGCACAAGTTGAAGTTAAACCTGGTATGAAACACAAGCCTCAAGAGCTCAGATTATTGATTAAAGAGAGAAATGCTGCAAGACGAGCGTATCAACGTACCAGACACCGTGATGATAAAAGGAACTTCAATCGCCTGTGCGAAGCGGTCAAGTTTCTTACAAATAAACTCTCACAAGATCGCTGGACTAACTACCTCAGATCTCTTTCTGCAGAGGATAACTCCTTATGGAAAGCAGTGAAGAGGTACAAAAAATGCTATAACGCCATTCCGCCCCTTCACGGCCCTCAACGGATCCATTACACCGGAACTGAGAAAGCAGAACTTTTAGCTCAGCATCTGGAATCTCAGTTCTGCATTAACAACATTTCAGACTCAGACACTGAACAGCTTATTGCTGACTTCCACTCCAATTTTACCACACAGCCATGCACAGACAACATTATATCAGCCATGCCATCGGAGGTCTGTCTCTATATCATGCGAATTGCGAAAAGGAAGAGCCCTGGAGTAGACGGGGTCACAAATGAGATGATCAAGCACTTCCCTGTCAAGATAATACTCTACTTCACCAAGTTAGTGAATATCATACTACGATGGCAGTACTTCCCAACTTGTTGGAAAACTGCCAAGATTGTCCCTCTGCTAAAGCCCAACAAGCCTGCGACTGCTCCTGAGAGTTACCGACCAATCAGTTTGCTAAGCTCAATTAGCAAAATCGTGGAAGCAGTTATTCTACATAGACTAAACATCTTCCTGGATGAGCAGAAGATCCTCATACCCTATCAGTTTGGGTTCAGGCGTAAGCACTCGACAACGCATCAACTCTACAGAGTTGTTGAGTTAATAAGCAGTGGGATGCAACAACATCGTGTCACTGGTGGACTTTTCTTAGATGTCGCCAAAGCCTTCGATAGAGTATGGCTGGATGCCCTCATATACAAATTACACAACCTGGGACTCCCAGGCTACATCACAAACATAATTAAATCCTACCTAACCGGTAGACACTTTGTCGTTCATGTTTCTGGTTCATTATCCACAAACCGGCCTATACGGGCTGGTGTTCCACAGGGATCCCTTCTGGGCCCTACCCTATTCAATATTTACGTGAACGACATCCCCACTACACACAACACAACACTAGCCATGTATGCAGACGACACAGCGATCCTAACGCAAAGTGCATTTGTTAGTTCAGCAATACAACAGCTACAACACCACATCCATTCGCTAGAGACTTGGCTGACCAAATGGAAAGTCAAAGTGAATGTCGACAAGACACATGCCATACTGTTTACTACTAAGAAGAATTTCCCGACTCACCTGCAAATGTATGGTGTGGACATTCCCTGGGTCAAGCAGGTCCCTTATCTTGGGGTGATCCTCAGTAAATCTCTTACATGGAACCCACACGTTACACATATTCTCAGGAAGTTTCGAGCTAGTAAAGCTTCACTCTTCCCCTTAATTGCTCGAAACAGTGTTCTATCTATTGATAATAAGTTGCTCATTTACAAAACCATGTTGCGTCCAATTCTTAGTTATGCATGCCCCGTCTGGGCATACTCGTGCAAAAGTTTGAGAAGGCAGTTACAAGCTGCCCAAAACGGGGTATTGCGTATGATATGTAATGCCCCCTGGTACATTCGGAATAGCCAAATTCGTAAAGAGTTAAGAATAGAGGATCTTTGTGATTTTTATTGCCGCCTATCTAGGGCATTTTATGATAAACAGGAACTTCTGGACAATCCTGTGGTTGTTAACTATTGTTATGATACTAGGGACCCCAATTTCAGTAAACGCCCAAGGGCGATCCTAAATGTTAGTAATGTGTAATTTTGTATATGTGTTATGCAAATTGTTGCTCAGATTCTTTATTGTATATTGTTCTTTTTTCCTCCTGATTGCTTTTTGTTTTTACTAGTGGCACTAAGGCGTCGCACTTCGTATTTTGTTTCTCTTGTGTGTACATGTATTCTTCTGTGAAATAGTTGTTAAAAAAATAGTTAATTATGTATGAATTAGTAATTAGGTACTTAAGGAAAAAAAAATTTGTATTTAACTATTAGCAATTATGAATTTAAACTCTTGCTCATTTAATTATTTAGCACATTCAGTTATATTTCTCATAATTCGAAACTTTTATCATGTTATTCGATGAGGTGTAGGGCTATGGCGCCCAGGCACCCTGGTGGTTAAGCACCGCAGTTCAACACTTATAAAACTTTATTGATTGCTTTCTAAATTTAAATGCTAGGTGAAAATTTTAGCATTCGATATTATGTTATATTGCCCTCATTTTTTTTTTTTTAAACTTGTTCAATCAGTAGTTGTAAAACGTTCAATGAGTATAATAATGGTATTTCCATTACTGGTTACTTCTTTCTCCTACTAAACTTCTACTTGAAAAGTATACACTACAACTTCTACTTCGTGTGGTAACGGCTTTGTGTACGAGTTCAAATGTGTTATTGTGGTAGCATGATTTTGTAGTCTTTATTTGTTAATTTCTTGTTGCAAAAGTATGGCTTCACTAAAAATTCGAAATTTTCGTATGATGTTATTAGATTTGATTTATGAATCGCCTCAAGTATTTAAGTACTTTAGTTTTATGCTATATTGCCAGCTGTATAAACTCATTAATACATGTTTTTTAACTGAGGTCATCCATTCTTTGTGCTATACTGTCATGTCATATATCATTAGCGACAAGCAAAAAATAGAATGGAAAACTCACTGGCAAAGTCCAGTTTGTCGCGCGATTTTAAGACGGAGATTCTTCATGACCAAGTCAAAATCGGCTTTGACTTCTACGATACGTAATTCGGTCATAGCATTTTTATTGTTTATCGAAGTAAAGAATAATTACATTTCTGAATTCTTTGGAGACTATTCCTTTTTCATGTGGTGTTTTGAATTCGCTTTAGGTATAATTCTAGCTCTCAATGCATTTACAGCTGTTATTCTCTATGCTTGGTCTGTGCTATCAAAGCCGATGCCAATATCACCTGTTCAACAAAGGTTGTTTGGAATAAGCGAAAATGATCCTGGATTTGAAGTAAAAAAATTGGATGATAGTATCGTAGAAACTACACCTCAGAAGCGTTTGCAGTTTACATCATGGAGGGATTCTTTAAATTGTAGCTCCCCTTCCTTTTTATCTGTGACACCTTTGAATTATTCTGCAGGTAGCTGGGCAAGTAGTTTATCACCAAATTCCCCTGGAATGGATACAACCAGTTCTTCCTGGAGTTTCTACAGGCCATCTTCTCCTCTGCATTATGTTTCTACTCCAAAGTCTGCAAATACTGATAAGTTCTCTTTGAGAAAAATAAATCATTCAGAGTACATTGAATCTCCATACGAACGCCCAATAAAGAATAAGAAGCAGTTGGAAGAATTTTTAAAACAGCGAGAAGAGGAAGATAAAAAGATGAAATCAATGACTTTTGAAGACTCAAAAGCCTTCATATCTAATGTATCATCAGTTGATAATAGTCCAATGTCTATTTTGAGTAAATGTCGTTATCAAAGAGCATATCGACTTCCACACATGGAAACTACAGAAGACGATTCATCGGAAATCCGTTGTGGGGATAATTTCCTGCATAAGCTCAAAATTACTGATAAAATGTTGACTACCTGGTGTGAACGTGTACGAAAATGGATATGCCAAACAATTCTTGTAAAATTAGTGAAAGAAATTGATGATATAAATAATACTATGAGTCAAATAGGTTTGCCTGAATTTCAAATTGGTTCTGTTAGTTTATTTGCTTTACACCAGATTGCTGTGACCAAATCTCAACACCTACCAACTCTTTCAGTTGTTCTACCTTATGTGGATATGCATTTAAATCAAGAATATTTAATTCGACGTCTGAAAGATCTTGCACATGGAGGTTGCATGGGAGACTTTAAGTGGAATTCTGGAGGAACTTATGATGATAAGCAATGGTGTGATGACTTACCAACAGACTCTGCAATCATAATACATATCTTTTGTTGTTATTTAGATGCGCATTTACCACCAGAGCCACATTTTCCTGAAGGCAAGCCATTTTCTTCCAAGTACTTTAAGAAAATACCAGAAAAGCCAGTTTTATCAAAAGACTCATGTTATATTTATCAGTCTAGTGTGAACCCACCTCAATTCAAAGTAGTTTTAGGTGAAGACATCTGCAATTTGCAAAAAGGCCGAAACAATTTATTTTGTGCTATAGTAATATTTTTACATCATTTGAAAACTAAAGAATGTGGGATGTTGGGAAGAGTTAATTTGGGTAAATCTGGCCTAAATATTTTATGGGTGATTGATTAACACTATTTTCTTGTTGTACAAGAAATAATAAACTATTTAACTTTTACATTTCAGTACTTAATCAATGAATGTGTTAATCATAACTGTTGAGAAAACAAATGATTAATGTTTGCCAGAAAGGTAGTTTTAATATTCAGTGATTGTTTGTTGAAATATGTGTTAGTGGTTTCATTTTTGTTATTCATTGCATCATTTTTAGTAAACGAAAGGGAAAAAAAAAAATTTTGGTACCCTTCTGTTATCAGGACCAGATTCAGAAATGTATGTATGCATTTATTTATATGTATACATAATACATTTCTGAATCTAGTCCCAATATCAGAAGAGTACCCTTTTTTCATCTGCAAATGTATATGAAAATTGAATATTAGAAATTTATGGATCACTTTTAACATATTTGTTTATTGTATAGTGTACATAAATTTTCATTTAAATGTAAAGTACTATTCAAGTTTTTTTTTTTTTTTTTTTTTTTAATATTTTAACATTTTCAGATAGGACATTATTTCAGTTTAATTTTTTTTATGTGTATTTAATTATTTTTATTGAACCAATATGTAATTAACTTTGGTTAGTATTGTTTATGATGCTACTAGTCGTTTTGGCTAATCTTTGGAATATGGTAACAGGTAGTTTGGCGACATTTTGGTAAGGCAATAAGGGTTACTAGCTAGGAATTTAGCAGTGTACATGGATAATGTCAAGAGTGTGCGCAATGCCATTTTTGTGAAATTCTGGGATTTTTTTTTTTAAGTGAAAATAAGTCAACGTGTATATGGTTACCATCTATGTGCAATTCGTAAAAACGCGGCAAGCAGTTTGCAATTCTGCACTTTCTCCCAATTTCGCACCTAACCTTCGTCACGATTAAGCACTTTTGTTCCATAAAAGTTCTAGCATAAGCGTAATTCGGCTAGCAGATTGTTGGAAAAAAAAGATGCCTTTACTTTGTGAAAACAAAATGTCATCCAAACAAAAACTAGCAGGTTGCTGTAGCAGGGTTGGTCGCCAAAAAATCGCCAAGTTACCATAATCCAAAGATTAACCGTCGTTTTTATTGCAGAACAATAGTGATTTCGTGTGATTTAATGTCATAAACAGATAAGCTAATAAAAAATCTATTCATCCTAATGCAAAATCCTGAATTTTAATTAAATTTTTATTGTTATATAATACCACATTATATTTAATGTTATCTTAAAATTTAAAAAATAAAACTCAGAATTTCATGTGCGGTAAGGAGCTTACTCATCAGTAGGCACGAAACAAATATTTATGATAAAAAATTGGGTACTACTTTGGTAGACGGTTGCACGGATTGTTGGCGCGGTTTTTACAGTCGCCAACCATCTTGAAAAATGCTGTTTTTACGTATTTTACGCATACAGTAAAGTATTCGAAACTTTAAAAAAAAATAAATATCTTTAAAAATAATGGATTAATTTTTTGTTGAAAACGTTGTTTTTTAAGATGGCTGGCAAATGTAAATAAATACATTTAGTATAAAATGCTAAAGTAATGCTAAATTATTACTTTATATAATAGAATAAAAATATTGCACAACATTTAATTAGATTAAAATATTACTTAAATTGAATATCAAATTAAAAAATCATACCAACTTTTAAAAGAATTAAATATTACTTAAATACTTTAAAATAAGTTTTATAGGATTTGATTATTTAACATTAAAACATATGCAGCAATAAATATCTCAGGAATTTTTTAAAACGTATTAATTTTTTAATAAAAGTTGAAGTGTACAATTATGAAGTAAAAGAAAATTATGTACTCGCATTTTTAACCTGTCGTATATTGATAAGTACCACTGGAAGAAAAAAACCGGTCCGCTAACAATCTTCATCTGTGTGATCCACATCTCTCACACTTCATTGAAGAAGCAATTAGCCAGGTTTTCTCTAAAAATTTTAAATAAATTTCCTCTGACGCTATTAACAATTTATAAATAAATCTTTGATTAGGAAAGCAAGGTTGGCCAAAATAAGGTCTCGAACAGCAATTTTTTCATTCCGATACCAATAATCTTGGTAATTACAATAACAACATTCGGTACTTTTCCGTTTTGACGGCACAAACGATAAAGTCGTCAATAATGGTTTAACTGATGCCAGACGGAATATCTTTGTTGGTAACCTTTTACGCCTCAGTTTCAAAACAAGTTGAAGCCATTTCTTATCAGATTGTTTCTTTCAATACTGGCATACAATAATATAGAATTTTTACACGATATTTAAATTTTATCCCCTAAGACAATTCACGGTAATAAGTCAATTAGAACGCAATTACACCGCTCATCCGAAGGCGAAATCAAGTGTTAAATTCATCAATTCTAATAAGAATGCACTAGCGAAGTAAAGCACTGCGGTTTTACATAATTTCTGAGTAAGCTATTCGTACGAATTGAAATAATTCTTGCATTTAAACTTGTATTCCAAATTAAGATTTAACTTGAAATTAATGTAGATAATTACTGAGCGAATTAGATTTTAGTAGCGTAGTTTACGTGAGATGAGATCACTTGGGGTCACGTGATACGAACCGGCGAATCAGGATATTGAACCATGAAATCATGGTAAATTCTTAAATTAATGTCTTTTTACAAATTTATTGTCTTTATTTATTGGCTTTTTACAAAATTTTAAACCATATTAAAATGTTTATACCTTCAAAATAAAAAAAAATTCTTAGAATTAACATTTTTTATGTGTATACTGTATGTTGTCGCCAACAAAGTCTGCTTGGCGAGATTTGCGCCGGCGAAACGGAAAAGTACCCAACATTCATATTCGAAATGAACACATCCATTCTATTTGAAATCTGAGGAATTTGAAGAGATGAATAATAAAATTTTAAAATGGCACGGTAATGCACAAATATTCAGTAACCAATCAGGGAGCTGATTACATCACACACAGAATTAAAATTATTTAAATAATCATAATAAAATCATATTTTAAAAAAATGCAAAGTTAAATTGTATTTTAATATTTAACACCCATAAATAATGTTTAAAACATTAAATTTATATATATTAAAACCAATTACTTTTAAAATAATGTGACGTCATTCATTACATCATTCCCAACATAAAATATAAACAATAAAATTTTTATCTCAAATAAAAATGCAAAATTAAATTCATTTTTATTATTTTGAAGTCATAAATAATATTTAAAACACAGAATTTATGCATAATAAAACGCATTATTTTTTAAATAAAATGACAACAAAGTATCGGTTACCATAAACAACTTGTCTAGCAATGGGTTTACCACAAGTCGTATATAAAAATTCATTTAAAAAATATAAATTAGTATTAATATACTGAAATTAACCGGTTAAACGTGATATACGAAAAAAATTTGTCTCAAATTCCAGTTAACACAGAAAACAATATATTCCTTACACCAGCAGTGGTTTGCTAAATTTGATGACCATGGTGATGCATCAAACTATTCTGTCATCTTAGATAATCAATAATATTTTTTATTTCAATTTCATTATCTATTTATGTCACACCTGCGTCACACAATAACCTTTCAGAGGACCTGCGATCCTCTGAAAGGTTATTGTTAGAAAAGCATTAACAATATATTGTTAAAATTTTACGCCATAAAAATTGATTTATTCTCATTTTAGATGACAATAATAAAAATAAAAGCATTACTTAATTATTTAAAATGCATATGCACATTTTTGCTGTCTACGAAAACAAATTATTTTAGAGGTTGCAAACCTCATGGTTCGTAGAGCTGTTAATAATTAAGAACACAACGTGAACAGCCGTGTTACAAATTAGCATTCACCCCTCCTTTCATCCTGAACCGAGAACCGGCATCTATCTACGAAAATATTTCTATCTATTCGTTGTTAAAAAATTCAAAAAATAATAATAAATAAGAGAAGATAATTATAATCTGCAAATGCTAACATGACAGTTTAATTAAAAATAGCAAAAGGAATGATTTTTTGAAAATTAAAAATGCAAATGAACGTTTTGAAATTATTTAAAATTGGCGATGTGTTACGATACCGGGTTCTACTGGAAAAACAATTGCTAATAAGTTACAAAAAGTTAATATGTTTTAATGAAAAAACCTACTGAAAATATTTTTTAAAAACAAAAAAAAAAATTAATTATAAAAAAATGTTAAATTAAAATGGTGATTAAATAAAGGAAAATTTGTAATATCAAAAGTAAATGAATCCGATATTGTGAAAGTATTTTAAACTAACTGCTAACTTTTTACAATTATTGAATACCAAAAAGTCTCACCTGATTAGCAAAATGATAACTAAAGTCAGGTATATAAAATTCATCAATACTAATGTCTTATTGTAAAATATAAGTTTTTCACAATCGGACCCCTATAAAAAAGTCTAATGGGGTTATGTCAGGACAGCGTAGGAAACCGTTGGCTTTATCACACCAAATCCATCCCCGATCATATACGAATGGCCGTGGTAGACGTCCAAAATCCAAATAACGTGCGGTAAGGTGTTGAAGCAAAGACGTCAAGGGTATGCGAGACACACCCAAGAAGAAACACGTCAGTTGCGAATGTCCAATACATATCAATGGTGATGAAAGCTCTGCGAAGAAGACATCTACAGCATGGAACGATACGTTGCAGCATGTCCAGATACACTGCAGATGTAATGGTAGCCTCAGCGAAGAATGGCCCTATAATTCGGTCGTGCAATAGTGTGCACCAAGCATTCACCTTGGGACTGCCTCTGGTGCACTCCATGACCTCTCCAGGGGATTGTGAACCCCAAATGCGCACATTATGGTGATTCATTACTCCACTGACAAAAAAGGTCGCTTCATCGGAAAAGGCAATTCGTCTGAGATAACCATCATCGTCCTTAATACGTGATAGCATTTCGACCGCAAAGTCATATCGACGTATACTGTCATTGGGCAACAAGGCCTGAATGATTTGCACTTTGTATGCACAAAACAATAAACGTTTGTGTAAAATGTCATGGAGAGAGCTTTTTGGTATCTGTAATTCACATGAAGCCCTGCGCACCGATTTCTTCGGACTTCGCAGAAAAGACTGCCTCACAGCTTCCACCCTGTCTGCTGAGGTTCTTGGTCGACAAGACCTCGGAAGGTTAGCAACCGATCTTGTGTTCTTGAACTTCTCATACCAGGCTTTAATGCTCTTGACATCAGGTGGATTCCTTCCAAATGTTGTCTGGAAGTGTCTCTGCACTGTAGTTGATGATTGTGTCTCATGGTACCACAGGACACACTGTGCCTGATTGGTTAACATGGCTTCTTGGGCACTGCACCTCATCCACTACTTACGTACTGCAAACTTAAAACAGAAAAAAAGCTTTGATAGTTTGTAAACAATTCGACACAAGTTTCATATTTGTATCTTACTTCTAGCCCGAGTTATCAATTTATGTAATTAGGGAAAGACTTTTTGGACACCCTGTATATTGCATTTGCATAAAGAACATGTTTTTAAACATATATAACCATTATTATGGATAATTATTCAAATTAATGGTAAGAATTAAAAAAGAGAAGTGTAAAAGTTAATAATGCTGGAGTTATATATATCATAGTCTAAAATACTAAGATGAAAAAATATTCGTAAATTTACTTAATCACAACAATGACTAATTGTTTACAATTTGTTCTATGTGTATGGTTTACCTTGTTAACGCAAACATTACACTTTGCCTT